TAGTTTATTTTTTATTATTAAGTCAATTGTTAAATGGTTTAGTTCTTTATTTATAAGAGAGACGCAAGGTTCCCATTGATTTTACCCTTCTCAGTTGTTCTCATAGGAGGTATCTGTTTTTTTTTTTTTTTTTTGCTGGCATGGTGGTAATTTAATTTATTTTACATATTATATATTTAACAATTTTTAGCCGAGACTTTTAAATCACTAATAGTTAAACAAGTTTGGTCATTATAACAATTATACAAAATTATTAATATATGGATAAAATTCGCGATATAACCAAACAATATTTCCGCACCGACTTGCCGCCCTTACAAGTTGGTGATAAAATAGAAATTACTACCAAAAACTTTAACAAAAACGAAAAAGCCAAGGATGATGAAAAACCAAAACATCGTTTTACCCACTTCAAAGGCACCGTAATTACGCAAAAAAATCAAGCACAAATTAGCTATACCTTTTCAGTACTAAAAGAAAGCAAGGGAAGTGAAAAAGTAGCAATTAGAAGTATCTTTTCTTATCATTCCCCCCTCATAATAAGTATTAAAAAGATTGGCCAAATTAATCAAAAAGTTCGCCGAGCAAAACTATATTATTTAGAAAGAGAATTAGCCAAAAAGAAAGATAATGAGTAATGACAAGAATGAATTGTCAAAAAGAACGGTATTTTTAATTGGTCTATTTGTTTTAGCTTTATTAGTTGGCGGATTCAATCTAATTATTAGAAATAGTTCGAATAATAAAAAACCAACCAAAGAAGAAAACAAAAAACCAAACTCCCCCGATACTCCCGACAACCCTCCGTTGCCTAAGCAACCGAACGATAAATGCCCTGCCCTTATAGCAACAAAAAAAGAACTTGAAAATGTCAAAATTTAAAAAGTGTTATTTTTGTTGACTGAAAAGGTAATAAGATAAAGTATTTTGAGAAAGTGATTTTGGAAAATTACACCAACAAGGAAATTATGGATAAATGAGTCAGTAAAGTATCAGTAGTGGCAGATGGAGGAGATATTCGCGACAAAAATCTTCATGGAGCCAGCATAATCGTTAATGCTGCTAATACCCAAGTCAAATTTGGTAGTGGAATTTCCGGAGCCATTGCTGAGCAAGTCGGAGATAAAGCCAAAATTGAAGCCAAGGCTCGTGAGTTAACTGATAAATTTAATTCTTAAATAATAAATAATCAAAAAGGAAGTGTGCCCGAGCGGTTGAAGGGGCTGGCTTGGAAAGCTAGTAATATCTAATCCATATTCGGAGGTTCGAATCCTCTCACTTCCGCCAAAAAATAAATATGCTTTACTCTCCCGAGCAAAAAAGGAAAATTATCTTGAATAATTATAGTCAACCCAGCCAGCAAGTAGAATTAGAGGAATTTAAAAAAAAAAGTGCGAAATGACAAGTGCCTTTTTCTACTTTTCGCAGTTTAGATACTGGCTGTGGCGACATTATTCACTTGCTAATAAAAAAAAAGGATAATTATCTAGAAAAATGCTTATTTTCCGGTCAACAATCTTGCCTTATTACCGTGGCAGTCGCTAATATTCTCTGTTCTAGTTTAGAAGGAAAAGACCTAAATTTTGCCCACAAAATATTAAACAATTGTCAAGACATGATAGAAAAAAGGAAGTATAATTTAGAAAATTGCCCTGATTTGCAAGTATTTAGTGACATATCACAATTTCCCCACCGAGTAGAATGTATAAAATTAGTAGTGAGAGGCTTAACTAAAATATTAAATTAATTAATATTATAAGAAAAAATCATGAATAAAGAAAACTACAAAAATTTATACGAAATATTAGGACTAAAAAAAGAAAATAATCCCTCTTCTGAGGAGATCAAAAAAGCCTACCGTAAATTGGCTTTAAAATGACACCCTGATAAAAATCCAGGTAATAAAGAAGCCGAAGAAAAGTTTAAAGAAATCCAAAACGCTTATGAAGTTTTGAGTGATGAAGAGTTAAAAAAGAAATATGACCAAGACCCCAAAGGTTTTTCAACTAACGGGGGTAATTATTCTGACTTTGCTGACGAATATTCCTACTATTCTACCGAAAGCGAGCAAATTTGTGAAAAATGAATAGAAACCACAAAGGCATTATTTATTCTTAACGGAGTTGTCCCCGAGGATGATTTAGATCCCTCTTTGTGAGCCCCTTATGCTAACTGAAAAGAGAAAGCGAGAAATCTCTGAAAAGATAGAGAGAAATTTTCTAAATTTAGCGAGCAATTAGATAAGGCTGTCTCCGAGGTGAAGAAAAGTGGAGGAGGAAAAAGAGAGAAATTTGTTGATAAAATAACCAATGAGGTAGTTAAAAAATTATCTGAATCGACTGTCTATACAGATGATCTTGACCCTAATTTATGAAGGCCCCATGAAACTATTTGAAAAAAATTTTGACACAAAGCCTATTTAGGCTCTTTGGATGGCGGACCAACTTTCGACGAGTTAAAACAAAAATGCGAAAAGTTTAAAAAGGAGTTATTTGCCGCTATCGACAAGATAGTAGCAGAAAGACGAGCCAAAAATAAAAGTAAAATGGAGGATAGTGAGCCAATAAGAGATGCCAAACTTCGCCAAGCTGCTTACCAAGAGATAACCAGTGCCTATAAGGGAAACAATTCTTTTATTAACCCAAAAGGCGAGAGATTTTACCCAGACAGTGACTTGGATCATAAACTATGAAGCCCTTGTCACGACTGATTCGAAAAATTAACAAAAATAAAAATTAGTCAGTTGGAGGAGTTTGTTTAAAAATCAAATGTTAGCGGCTATTGAAAAAGCCCGGCAAGAAAGCAAAAATAAACAAGGGAATAAAAAGGAAAGTTTTGTTCCACCAGTTCCCAAAATACCAAAACCCCACTCAAAACAAAATCCTTCAGATAAAAAAACACCTTCCATACCTTCTCTAGATGAATTGGCGAAAGAAGAAAAAGTATCATTAGAGTCAGAAATTGAGAAAATTAAAGAAGACATTAAGTTTGATGATCCTATAAAAAAAAAAAGATTTGGTTGAAAGAGAAGCTGAGTTAGAAAAATTATTGAAAGAAATGAAAGGAAAAGAAACTCAGAATAATTCTCCCTCCGGAAAATGAAAATCTATTCAGACAAGAAAAGTTGTTTACAATTGGCCTATGATCCTGATTGGTGGAGTGGTAGTGATAAGTTTGGTAATAACTCTAATATTTTCAATATCAAAGAGTAAGAAAAAATAAATTTGTAACAACAGATAGCAAGCAATCTGCCCATTTAATGGAAAATATTACTTAATTCTTCCATCAAATCTCTATTTTTTGGATTTTGAAAATACTTCTTCAATTCTTTTTGGGTTTCCTCCCCCAAGATTTCCCGAAACTTTTCTCATTCCTCCTTTTTTACAGCAATAAGAAAACTTATTAAATCAGGGTAAAAAATGGTTATTTTTTTGGTTTTTACCGAACTAAGTAGAGGAATTCCTAAGGCGGTCAGCAAACTAGCAAAAGGTCTTTTTTTTGACTCTTCGATGGAATTTAAAACATTAGTGACAGATTTTTTTTTGAACCCTTCCAATTTTAATAATTCTTTCTCTTTTTGATAAAGCTGGTAAAAATCAGTTGGTTGTTTCAACAAATTATTCTCATAAAGTTTTTTAATGATTTTTTCACTAATTCCTTTGATATCCAGGCCAGTTTTGGAAGCAAAATGAGCAAGATAATTAACAATTTTTTGTGGACAATTATCGTTTTTGCATACCTGATAAATATTAGTAGAATTTCATTCTAGAATTGAATCACAAGAAGGACAATTAGTCGGAGGTTGTCAACTATCACTATTACTTAACTTAATTAGTTGGACTATTTGGGGAATAACATCGCCGGCTTTTTTTATCACTACTTCATCATCAACATTTAATTTTAAATTAGCAATAAAAGCATAATTATGAAGTGTTACCTTGCTTATTTTACTCCCTTGCAAAATTACTGGTTCTATTTCGGCCACATAAGTTATTCGTCCACTGCGACTTACCTCAACATAAATATTCTTTACTTGACTGGAAGCGACTGAAGCCAGAAATTTATAAGCCATGGCTCAGCGAGGAAAGCGACTAGTTTGTCCTAATTTTTCATAGACACTATAATCATTTACTTTAACTACAATGCCGTCACTTTCAAAATCCAATTCTTCCCGCTTTTTTTCTTGTTTTTCAATAAACTTTCCTACTTTTTCAATATTTTTGAATACTTGATAATCAGGACTAACCGCAAATCCCAATTTTTCTAACTCCTTTAAACAAGACAATTGGGTCGGCAAATCACTATTGAATAGTTGATAAGCAAAAAAGTGTAATTTCCTATTTTGCAAAGGGATAAGAGTGCGTAAACTACCTGAGGCTGCATTACGTGGGTTGGCTAATAATTTATTACCAGACTTTTTTAATTCCTCATTCAAGCGAGTAAATTCTTCCTTTTTCATATAAACCTCCCCCCGCACTTCACAATTAGCAACTTTTTTTAAGTTAAAGGGGATATTTTTTATTAATTCTTTATTAAAGGTTATGTCCTCACCAATAACTCCATTGCCGCGGGTACTGATTTGGACTAGTTGGTAATTTTGATAAACCAGGCTAATTGATAATCCATCAATTTTTCATTCACAAATATATTTTATTTCCTCCTCCGTTTTTAATAATTTTTTTATTCTTTCATCAAACTTTAATAAATCCTCATAATTATCAACGCTGTCTAAACTTAGCATGGGGCTTTGACGAACCACAGGGCGAAATTTGGGACTGGCAGGATGACCCGCTTTTTGGGTCGGTGAACCAGGAAGAACAAGATTATATTGAATTTCTAACTCCCACAATTCTTTTAAATGCTTATCATAGACCGCATCCTCAACACTAGGCTGATTAAGGACATAATATTCATAATTTCATCTATCCAATAACTCAATCAACTCTTTTATTCTTTTTTCTGGTACTTCGTTTTTTTTATTCATGCAAAAGGAAGATTGTATAAATAAAGATTTAAAACAAAAAACATCAAAAAAGGCACAAAAGTTAATCGCTTAACCCTCAAATTTTATAAAAAAAAGTAAATATTTTGCGCCCCTGTTTAAAAAAATGGTTTGAGTATGAAAGGGAAATTTTCAATAGGTCTATTTAAAGTTTAAAGAGAAAAAGAAAAATCTTTTTTTAGATTATAAATACCGCGGAACATTAAACCAAAATTACCATTATGTAGGTTAATAGTTGACTTTTCGTTTTTGATGTATGGTAATTGTATTAACTTTCTCACCACTATATAAAATTAATAAATATGGCATCGCAAGAAATAAGGTTTGCAAAAGCGCCCAGCAAAACGAGAAAAGGGCATTCTTTCCTGTCGTTAGCAGTGAAGTCTTATAGTAAATTGCAAAAATAATGTTTGGTTGATTTTTTGGATTAGGTGTTATTGCCTTATTAATTATCTTAGCTTTAATTATTCTTCCATTTGTCTTTTGAATTTTAAAGGTAATTCGCTTATCCAAAAATGAAGACAAAACTGGAATGTGAGTAGTCCTGCTTTGCGGACTATTTCTCACGCCCTTTATTGGCTGACTTGTGGGCTTAGCTTTTAAAGAAGATGATACTGATAAAACCAAAAAAAGTGGAGATTTTTGATGTGGTATTTGTAATATTAAATATCAAGAAGACTTTTTGGGTGGAGAAACTATTTATGAAGGCAAGATTTGCCGTTCTTGTTTAGGAAAAAAACAAAGAGGAGAGGTGGCAAATTCCCATGAAAATCAACCAAAGCCAACCCCTCCCCTCAATGAACCTATTTACTATGAACCAAAGCATAGAACCAAAGATGGCGTGGAAGATAACAGTAGAGAAAAGAGGATATTGCTTCGTGAGTTAAGTCGTAAACAGAGTAAAAAGAACAGTTATCTTACTCGTTTTGTTATTAATTTGGTTGTTTTGCAATGACTATTACCTTTAATCACTTGTCTTTTTTTTTGAATACAACTTAAAGAGAAAATAAAAGTTCAAGCTCTCAATAATACTGGAGCAGGATTAACCACTGAAATTCCTTTTGGCACCCTAATCAAAGATTTCTTTAAAATATTAACTTCCGAAACTTATTCTTATGGCGGTCACAACATTTTAATAAGTCTCACTTGAAAGATAGGAATAATATTGGTTTTCTTGCTCCCCTTAGTAATTTGAATTTATAATTTAGTAAGATTTTTTAGCATCAAGGGGGAAGTTGAGCGATTAGAAACTGAAATTAAATCAATAAAGCGTTAATGATGATAAAAATAGTTGCTAAAATAACTTTACATATCTTTGGTGTAAAATCCTCCAATAGTCTCAAAAAATAATATTAATCAATTTAATGACGAGAAAACTAGATTTTTGGGTTCTTTATAAAAAGTTCAAAGCCAAAGTAATTAGACATTTTTTTTCTTACTACTATCCGGGTAATAATTTCAATTATATTAGTAGGAACAATTAGTGAGATTTTTCGGATCAAAGACGGGATACCAGATAATTTTAATTATGCTAACTTATTGCCCGAAAAGTTGCGATCGTTATTAGGGAAAATAGAACTAAGTAAAAGTCAATT